TTGTTATTAATGACGGATTTAGTTGGTAATTAATAGGTAATTGATTTAATACTTTTAAGTGTTAATTACAGTCAATGCCCTGGTCAATACACTCTTTAAAGATAAATATCGGATCTTAGTCGTCGTCCAATCTGGAATGGACTGCGGTTGAAGACGTAGGTCTTTATGTATGACTGTAGAGTCAATGTTCTTAACAAGATTTCTTACATCATAAAAACAATAAATATGACTTCAATATCTGAGTCATTTACGTATATGTTGATATCGTGTTTTGTTCCATCACGTAAGTTGAACTGAGTCATGGCGTCGGAAAAACGACGGAGCCGCAGCTAATTGATGCTGGTGACACGTACTGGCAAAATACTTGACGTGATTACACTAAACAGCAGACAGCTATAATCAAATTATTAATATTTTATACAACTGTAGGAGTTGATAGAATTCTGTATTTAAGAAAGAAAAATTATGTGGTAGAATTATTTCTAAATGTTCTTCCACAATTTTTATCACAAGTTTATCTTATTATAACCTTCTTTCTAGTTAGTAGTCACTACAGTTTAGTGATGAAGTCATGTATGTATGGATTTTATCAACAGTTCACACCTAATTGATATCAAATGCGAGGCAGCTGGTGCGGCGCCGGCGGCTCGTTGTTTGCGATATTGTTGATATCATCTCGCGGACATTTTATACTTAGGGTTGGCAAGTTATACATGATAGAGAATTTCTAGAATCTTTAATTTTATTCTGCCTTTTTGTATGTATATGAATGGAAAGAAAATATGAGCACACGAAATACTTTTAATTTCGAAAGGACTTTTTTAGAATATTTAAAGTAAGTTTTCGTAAAGATCACATTGGTTACAAATATTTGGTTAATGTTTTTTATTCTTTAATTAGTGGCCAGCCCTGGGCCGGCACATGTGGCGTGTAGCGTTTGACTCACCGATATAGTACAATACGTACTGTGGAAGCAGAACAAAGGACTATTCTCCTTGAAACGACTAAAACTTGCAATATGTGAGTCGTGCATCAAATCAGACGTGAAGTGGAAAGTTCGCCAAACACGATGTGGCATTCCAGAAGAATATGTAATACGTGCTTATTACTTTTGTGATCACCGGGTGACGAGAAAAGATTATAAAATTAAACATGTGTTTAGGAATTACGCTTACTTTGGCTGAAAAAATGATGTATTAGTTTACATATTACTTCCCGGTTTTTAATTTAATGGTGGTTTTTACCGTTATATTTATCTACGTCCAGGAAAATGATAAAATGTTAGGTAATTTAATTATCTTAATTGGCGGTAATTAGGCGGTAAATCAAAATTACTTCTCGAATTTCAAACGTTTCAGAGCTTTGGCAGCCCTTTTTACATTTACGTGTCGTGTATCGGAACGTTGCGTCACTTAATTTTCGTTTGGTGCAAGTTCAAGTTACAAGGCGGATGGCAATATGGCGTCGTTTCCGGTGTAACTTCCGGTTGGCGGTACGCTTTAATGTAATCGTTTCAGGGTTCCGGAATGATTTTTGGGTGTACACTGTTTTACACAAAAGGGTAAGCGCATCAGCAGTTTTGTTATTGTCACTTTCCGTAGTTTATGACATGATATGATGACAAAGCATTGCAATTTTACTTCCTTGATGTTGGCAGCTTGTGTCTTATGGCCCCTTTCACACATCACAGATTCTGTTTCAGTTATTAACAAAAAGTTTTTGCGGTACTAGCTAAACTTTTTCAGGCAACAATCAAACAAAGCGCCTGCAGACGAGAAAGACGCGTGCGCAGACATCAAGATGGCGCTGGGGTGATTAAGATGTCACGCCTGATGCGCACGCCATTGTTTTTTGTTGAAAGGCCAGCGTGCGGCATTGCTTCGTCCTAAGTACACTACGTTACTATTTATACTATAACATTTTGAACAACAACTTAAAATTTCTATATAAATTTATGGTTCATAGCAATCTAAATAATATTATAAAGATGTAAAATTTGTATTTTTGTTTGTATTGAAAAAACTACTGAGCTGATTTTAAAAATTCTTTCACCGTTAGAAAGGTAATTGATCTGTGAGGAACATAGGGTATATTTTATTAATTTAAAGAGGCGAAGTCCCGTCCAACAGCTAGTAAGAAATAAATCTAATTTAATCATCTGTTTTACACCACTGATAGGTTTATTAAAGTAAAATATTATGCACTCCACGTTGTAGGAAATGAAGTAGCTTCATCCAACGGTAATAAGAAGCAATTACAAAATCAAGATTTAACTACAGCCAGTAACATTGTTTATGCAAATGACAATGTTACAGTACTCGCCTGCTCTGGATATGTCCACTTTCTAATTCATTCCACTTTCATCGATAAATCCTTCGAGAACCTTTCCCTAATTGCGATACTGCGAATGATAAGAGCGCGCACCTTTGACTAAGCTATCGCACAACTGTTTAGTCGCGCTTTGATTCCTATGACCTTATATGGTGCGACCACTACTCGATTTTTAGTTGTGCAACTAAACAGTTGAATCGGTTGCGAAACAATCGACAATCGCAGAACAGTTGTGATGGCCAAATATAATCGCTTACTAAAATGTAAGACTGAATTAAAATTATTACTAGTAAGTCCATAATATGTTAATTCATATACAATGTGATTATCGAAGCGGGTCCTGCGGGATGTGAAGGTCAGTGACGTCACAGGCGCGGCAATGTTGATTGCTTTGTCTGCGCCCGGGCACCGTATCCCGGAAGATCATATCGATTTTATTATTGAGAAAACAATAGGTACGATTTAAACTCGAAATTTTTTGCTTACATCCGTAAACATCACATTCACATATAAAGTATGTTTAAAGTTGATAAATCAAATTTTTAAACTACTCGTTACGTTCGAATTACAAAATGAATTGCCTACAAATAAATATAAATAATTCTACTATCATTTAAAGGTTGTCAAAATGTTCTACACAACTAAAATAATAGCTTAGTTACGGTAATTCCATTTACTTGATTGGTCAATAATGGTATAACTAAAAATGTTTTAATTGCAATCCGTAATCAATATAACGTGAGGGCGCCACGTGCGCACATTCACAAGACCGAAGGGAAAAGGCCTGTCCACATAACACATTGCATGTAACAAAAGATACAATTGATTTTTTTATTTAGTTCACAAATGTAAATAGTAAGTTAACTAGTTAGGAAGTAACAAGAATATAATTTTGTTCATATCTTTAGATTAAACTAAGCTTTAAAAGGTATGTCTATTTCCACTAAATGTCTAGCAGTTGCAGTTTCAGTGATAAATAACAGGTGACTCCATACAAATAGTTGATCACTTTTTTATGACTGATTTGTCACTGTTTGCCATGAGGAGGCATTTATAGCTGCTGCGGACTTGAGGTGGCCGAGCGCAGGTGGCACTTAGCCTAAACCTCGTTATGTACCTAAACCTCAGAGCCTCGGCATTTACTTCGTTTTTAGTACATGATTGGTTTAGTAAGGTAATAATTCGCTCTGCTAGCTATTGTGATTTTTCACTCAAATCTTAAATTAAATAAAGTGATATCATACCGCTGTAAAATATTATGTGTGAAACGATCATATGAATTGTGCTCACAGAAGGGGCTTGTTTCAGCGCAGCACGTGTTTGCATTTGCGTAATTACGATAACATGCTACACGTTTTATACAAATGTGTGTACACATGTTATGTATTGAATTGTATGATTATGGACAGTTGAAAAGTCACTTTAGGTGGATGGGTAGATGTTTGTTAGACTTTATAGCCTAAACGGCTTAACGAATTTCCGTAAAATTTGGTATAGATGTAGGGGATAGCCTGGAAGAACACATAGGCTACTCACTTTTTTTTTTAATTCCACGCGGTCGGAGTCGCGGGTGAAAGCTACTGTCTTATAAACTATTTAAAGCTGTGCTTAAAATTTTAAGGCGTATCGAATTCAATCCCACTTTGTTGTGGTAAAATAATAAAGTATTGCTCCGTATATATATTTGTTCAGAATCTATTGTAAAGTAATTGAAAAACAGTCAACAAAGTACGTGACATTTGTCATGTAGACTGTTATAAAATACTTGTTTTCTCTCGTCTTATCCTATCTTTGCGCTCCGAGCAGAAAACAAGATAGGATAATGCAGGACAGGGGCGCGGGCGTTGACGCCCTCTTGTATCGAAGTCTAAGATCCACTTTGTATAGCGTTAGCAGAAAAAGTGTCCAAGTCTACGTTGCCTTATAGAAAATTCACAAGAAAATATAACCTGTATTGCAGTAAAATCGTATCGTTTAAACCAATTTTTGGGTTTACACGTTGCAAGCAAGAAATTTCCCTTAGTAATTGTTATGTCAATTGTACCGCAAACCGCAACAGACAATGCTCCAAAAACCAACGGAGCTTCTAAGGTAAACAAGTCTAACTTACTAAGCGCAGTGTAATACCAGCTTATTTTATACACTGTACAAGAGCGAATAATACTAAAGATAAGTGTATGTAAATTACTGCCTTAAAAATATTACATTGAAATTATCGGCCTGGACATTAATTTTTTGCAGTAACGTGCGAAGGTCGAAAAGCAATGTATAAAATATTCTCGAACGTTACCTACTGGATCATTAAAATTCTTTTTTTTAAGCATAATTAAAGCTATCTAAAGGCATGAATTTATAGTTCATACCAAAAAAAGTAGTAAAAAAAACTACTTAATTAATTAATATCGGAGTTACTTATTGTTAGTTATTTTTATCACTTATTCTAAGTTATTATGTCTTTCGAGCTTTAAACAGAACAATGTAATATGTTTAGAAACTAAGAAATGACACTGAACCATTAATAAATATTCGGCCTGAAGCGATTATTTAACATCAACTAAATTATACTAGTCGGTATGTATTTGTTTTTAAATTGAGATTAACTAATAAAAAAGCGATTTTGACGCTTTGGCTGCGCAAGCGCAGGCTAGAGCGCAGCGCGGGAGCGGGTATGCGTCATTCCGCGACGAAACTCCGCGCGCGACGATCGTGTCGCGTCGCTGTAGATCCGCGCTTCGATCGATCTTCACCTCGTATTCTGTGCTTTACGTATAACTTGGATTTGTGTGCGATGTGCTATGGAATTTATTTTCAGTGACCGCCCCCTAAAAAGGGCTTAAATTGTGCTTGTTTTATTGTAATTGAAGTGTAGCAAAAGGTAAGTCGGCTGAACTGTTTGTATCGCTTACAGAATTAGATTATAATCTCCTCTAGTTTATAGTCCATTGTGAGCGATTTCATGGTGCTTGGGATAATATAATTGGGGGCCCACACGCAAATTTACTCTGCTACTGTTTTCATTATAATAGCGCTACAAAAAAATTGATAAATATTTTACAATGTTATTTCTTATTCGTAGTATTTCTTGTTCAATAGCCTTCGTTTCTTCCTCAACTTCTTTGTTGATTTTAACGTAAACTTGGCAAGCAAAAACTGTTTAACGCAACAAAAACTCTTATTAAATAATATAAATCTTATCCTTGTATATGTCTATTTAGCTACAAATGTTACGGCCGAATACTGAAACGACCTTAAAATATGTAACAGTCTTAAATGATAAGGCAGGCTTAAACTCCAAATTCCTTTCAAATGTCTAAGTCTATCAGACTGTAAGCGGTGCTTAGGAAGCGAAGTGTTTAAGATTCGTTTCACTATTTGACCGAAAGTCTGCTTGTTTTGCATATTAACATGGTATTATAAAATTGTTGCGAAGACAAAACAAAAGTATCAGTGAATCGACTATTTATGTTGCTTGTAACGTGCGGTAAAGAAGTGGAGAATATGTACCTAAAGTGATTCATTCTCTAAACTACTTTCTTAGCACTCATTTACCTATGGCTTTTGATTCATCATGCTTTAATACCTACTTTACACGTAAAAGGTAAGGTATTTCCTATTGAAGTTTTAATTTATTAGTCGATAATCTAAACACATAGTGTAGAGTAGCGTGTGGATACGTTCTTGTACACTCGATTAATTCCTCGCTACGCCAACACAAGCAGATATTTTGCGGTAATTCCCAGATGATTGAGTGATTATCGTCATTACGCTATTGATGCGTTTATTTGTGCAAATTATCTTTTGCTATGTATGCTAACTTTTGTAAACTCTCTGAGTTTATATCTCCACTGGGGATGAGATTACCCTATAAATTAGGAGTGACTGTACCCAGTGCGGGTTGGTTGCATGTATCTTTTTAATAGTACAGTATATTTGAATATAGATAACTTTATTACTGCTTTAATAAAAAGAAATAAAACAGAAAAAATCTTGAATACACATGTAGAAGTTATCAAACGTCTGTAAATTGATAATCTCTGCCTAGCTCCCTTTTAACACGTTTACGGTGAGTGTTGTCGCGCGAGTGTTTGGTTAGGACTGCTTCCAGGAATCTTAACTTTGACGCTTCTTAACAGGAATGCAGTTTGTTGACTTTTTCATCTTTTCGTAAAACTTTTTTTAGGGTTTACTGCATTATGGGATGTTACAGTCGTTTTTGAATTTAATCGTTTATCTTTTTTAGATACTTAAATATGACCGGTAAATAACACTGGACTCATTTAGCAATTCAAAGATATGATGAACTTGCTTAGAAAGTTAGTTTGTTAATTAAAAATGCAAGCACAATAAGATATTTCATTCTGAACAACAAATTGTTTTAATGTGTTCAATCTTTTACTTTGGTATAAGTATAGTTGCAAAAATCCATGAAGTTTGTGCACCGCTGAGGTCTTAGCCTCATCTTTCACTGACGCGTTTAGTCGATCAGACTCCAGTTAATACACATGTGCGATATAGTCTTGTTCAAATGGCAGTCTCGTTCAAGCTTCGCGACTAATCGCTTAGTGGAAAGAGATCTAGAAGATGTCTTGCGGAGGTATTTGTGTGAGAACAGGTCGGAGCACAATACCCTGGCTAGCGAGGCTCCCACGCCGGCCGTGGGTGGCGCTTGCGACATTACATTGTCGAAGTTAGTGCTTTCAGATCCAATTAGAACTTGATCACGACTCAGTCTTATAGGTTCGATAGCTCGAATTCTCGTTACTATTTTTTTTGTGGCCGATATCAGATATAAATAAGTACAGTTGAGGAAATCAGCGGTGTTGAACATTTAGAAAAATGTCATTTAAATGCTACCTCGACTGTTGAATTTGCGTTATCTATTGTAGAAAATTGCGACATATTAATGAAATGAAAAATCTGCTACGTGATTCATGACTTAAACATCTTTGATGCCTTCAGTCGACGCTTACAAAGAGATATATCCTCATTTACTGAATACTTCATGATACATACGAGTTAGGTAGAAAAGAAATATTTGCAATTAAAACTATTTAACACAAATAATATACAGGGGAAAGTTGGTAAATGTAAATATTGGAATTCTTCACGGCGCACGCGACGTGGCGTGAGCAGAGTCGCAAAAAACTCGAGGCATCCATAATTGCGCGTTTGTCACGGTAGTTTGCTTGATTTACGTAGTTTGAAGGAATTAATTCGAAGAGAATTGTTTATAAATTGTAATTTTTTCAGTTTTCTAGCACTGCTTTTTATATTTTTATTGTGTTACATATTTTTTTTTCTGTATTTTATTCCAGTTATACATAATTTATTTAAATAGAAAAACACATTTTAATATTTCCACTTGATGTTATAAACATAACCAATACGTTAATTTAGTATTACTTCTCTTTTTTAAAATATTGTATTAATCCCATCGTTAAAAAAACACCCAAACTGTTTTTTCCGTTGATCGATAAACCAAAAGTGGCTTATCGTAATTACACTCGGTAATAAATACGGTGACTTCGTATATTTTTTGCTGCATTCAAATAGTCCGGGGTTCACATCCGTGGTCCGGAGCATTCCGACGCCGGACGTTGCCCTTGACCAAAACTCAATCACTCAAGTGAAAGTTGCGATCACTTTTTAAAAGCAAACTTATGTTTATTTCAATTTAACGAGCGAAATAAATTCGATAATTATATATGACTTCCACGGTGGTGAGTTCTCATGGCATAAGACTTGGGTAAGTTTTCTTAAATACTTTATGGCTTCGGTATATTAAAGAAAGTTTTATACTAATGTGCGAATATTTATTCAATTTCATATTTTATATTTTGGACTAAACCTAGTGCTTATCAGTATCTGAAATCGTTCAAAAAATATCAAATAGATGTCTGTTAAAATTGATCAGAAACATTTTTGTTTGACCTTTCTAGAGTTAAAAATATGTTTGATGGCGCTAAAGAACCTTAGCGGTTTGGCTGTCGATAAGTTTTTGATATCCATTCGGGTAGCCACTAGCCACAGTAGCCAGTAGCTAGAAGCTAGTAGCTATCGTCAGCATCCGGCCGGCGTCAAGGCCGCGCGGATAGATAACATCGCTATGTTAGCGGCTGCCGGGTACAGTCGCGCACGAAATAAGTATGAAGTGACCATGTGCACGAATAAACAAAGAAATGCAAAATACAAGGAACGTATTGTTTATTTAACAAGTTTTTCAATTTGTGTCGATAGATTAGATACTCAGTATACTATTAAAGTTGTAGATAAAAGTGCATATTATAGTTTTATTTGCTTCTACAACACTTGTGTGTGTGACTGTAATCTCTTGCAAACAATAAAATGGGTTAAACCCCACTGAGAAAACATTTGATTCAAGTTAACTGAAGATAAGCTGCATGCAGTTTAACTGTTTAGTTAGTTATAAGGAATCCTAAATAAATAACGCTTGCCTGTAAATAATTAAGAAAAACGATGCTAGCATTAATTTAAATAAGGATTTTTATCTGTGAACCATAAATCTTATAACTATATAGTAATATAAAAAATACTTCTCTAAATATTGTTTACTTTACTTAGATAAGCTTTAATTAAAATGTGTGTCACCTAAAAACTCTTCTAAACTTTACCGTTCCACTTTTAGCAGCCAAGTATTGGATACTTTAGTTATTTTGAGAGTTGTCACAACTATTTGTAAGAGTAGTTGCAACTTAAACATTATGTATATTTTTAGTGCAACCTAATGAATAATCTGGTAATATAGTTTAGGGCAGCTGGGCTCGGCAATTGTTGTAAATGAAAACGGCGCCACGCTCCGCCGCCGCGTGCGATATCATCGGCCGCGTACTACGGGATGTGAATCTAAAAACCAATTACCAAACGTAAAACTATGTAGATAAAGCTGATATTGGCTTACTTTTTGTGATCAATGAACGTATTAACAATTCTGTTAAATAGATTGTATGAAATGCACTTTATGTAGTTAGGATAGGGTTCTATTTTCAATAATAAATGTCACGTCAAGCCAATTGGTAATGCACTGTTGCTATTTTTATATTTTTTCAATAAGATAATTACAGTTATCGAAAAGGCTTGTAAATGATTTAAAAATAAACACTAAGATGGTGGCTTGTTAAGTCAGAATTGATTATTTGCACTGTTCTACCATTATCGATGTGTCATTTTGGTTTTGGCGGGAACGGGAAATGGCGAGCATTTGAATAATGGCGGTTTACTATCGGCTGTCAGATCCATAGATTAGATAAATTCTCGCGGCAGAATTATTTATTACAATTTAAATGTTATATGTAGCTGTAATTTGTAGTTCAAATTGGCGGCAAATTTAATGTGGCAACATTTTGTATCTTATAGTAATTTTAAAAATCATAAAGAGTTAAGGCCACTTAAAATTTTGTTACCTTGGGTCATGTCAAATAAAAAAATAAACGTAACAGTGTGTGGGTTTTGTTTGTACATAAATTAGTGTGTGTGGGTGCGTAGAGTTGTTAATAGTCTGTTTGTCCGTTTGTCGTCCGATAAAACGAAGATAGTACGCCGATAATAATAGTTATTTTTCCACCATAACTCCAACATGTTTTATGGGACATATTAAAACGCAGTAAAGTTCTTTCAAAACATTGCACCGCGTGGCCTGAAGTTAATTTATCTATCGGCGATAAAAGTCGTAGTCATTAAAATGGAAGTTTGTCACTTCTAACGTATACAAGTAAAGTACATGCAAGTAAAAATACATCTTCAAGTCTTAATCAAACATAAGAAGGCTACTTACTTATAAATATAACATAGAGTAGTAAAAGAAATATAATGACAACTCTGGACAATATCATATTATGCCATGGCATAATATGATAT